ATTTGTGTGTCCTGGGGCCCCTCGAATTGTTCGGGCGAAGAGAACTATGCACATGCACCGATCCTGGCAAGGCCCATCTTTGACCCAGGATCGGTGCATATGCCTTCCTGGCCAAGGTAGGAGGGCGTATGCACCGATCCTGGGCTCAGGATGGGCCTGGCCAGAATCGGTGCATGTGCATAGTTCTTTTTCCTCTAATTGTACCCGTTCTTTCCGTGCCCCTTTCGGGCGCCCAGGCTCCAGCGGTGTGGTCTGCGTCCCGCCCGGCGTGGCTCCCGGACGTCCGCCTCCTGGGGGCCGCGTGCTTCGGGCCCCCGGAGAAGCCCGCAGCACAGGGCTCGTCGCACGGGCGCGCGAGGGCCCGTCGGGAAAACTCTGGAAAGGCGACGAGGGGCCTTCCGAAAGGTCTCCCAAAACGGCGCGAAGATCGGGACAGAATCGGATCGGGACAACTCGAGATCTCTGAGAATCGGCGGGTTTGGAGGATGTGTTGGGCGCCGCGGCCGCTCCGGAGCGTTCCGGAACGCTCTGAGAGCGCTCCGGAACGCTCTGGAGCGATTTGTCCCGATGCTAGCCCTGTTTTATCTCCTGTCAGGAGGGGGAAAAACACACAGAGACACAATGAATCGTCGACTCCCCAGAAGATATGGGGAAATATGGGAAGTGTGTGTGGGGGGGAAGACAGGAACCCAGAACATGTGGGAAAATGTGGGGAGCCCTTCTCTTTTTGTGTGTATCTATTTGTGTGTCCTGGGGCCCCCTCATCCTGGACCACCGGGAGCCGGCGGCAAACCGTCAGAGGGCCCCGAGGAACTGGCCAGGAGCGGGGAGGCGCCCTGAGGGCCTCTGTGGCCGCGCAGGTGGGCAGCTCTGGGCGGCGAGCGCGGGGGGGGGGGAGGCGAGGAGGGGCGGGCCTGCTCAGAGGGCCCGGATGTCCCCAGGCCTTCTTCGGGCGAAGGGAACTATGCACATGCACCGATCCTGGCAAGGTCCATTCTTGTCCCAGGATGGCCCATTCTTGTCCCAGGATCGGTGCATATACCTTCCTAGCCAAGGTAGGAGGGCGTATGCACCGAGCCTGGGCTCAGGGTGGGCCTGGCCAGAATCGGTGTATGTGCATAGTTCTGTTTCCTCTACTTCTGAGAGGCTTGCCGAGCCTGCCCCGAAGAGCGTGGGGAACCTCGCAGAAGGCGAGAGGGCTTCTGGGAAGTCCCGCCGCCTTCTGAGAAGGCCCTCTCCTCGCTTCTCCCCCTCGCTCGCCGCCGAAACTCTCAGCGTCGGATGTCTGGGGTCGCCGTCCTCGTCCGACGGGCCCGCCCCTTCCCTCTGGGCCTGCCAGATGGGGTCGGATGATCGCGCCGCATCGTCGATGCATCGGCGATGCGGCTCGATGTGGAGAGTGATGCATCGCCGATGCATCGACGATGTATCGGCGATACCGCCGATGCATTGCCGATACATCGGTCGCCGATGTATCGGCGGTGCGGCGCGACCCTCCGACCCCATCTACTCCGATCCCATCTGGGAGGACTCTGTCGGCGACTTCGCCCCCCAAGGCTCGCCGCCGAGAGGAGAGAGCCTTCCGAGGCTGCCTCCTCCTCCTCCTCGTCCTCCTCCTCCTCCCTCCTCCTCCTCTTCCTCGTCCTCCTCCTCTTCTCCTCTTCCTCCTCTTCTTCCATGTCTCTTCCTCCTCTTCCTTCCTTCTCCCTCCTCCTCCTCCTCCTTCTCTTCTCTTCCTCTCTCTCTCTCTCTCTCTCTCTCTCTCTCTCTCTCCCTCTCTCTCTATATCGTCTCTTCTCTTCTCTTCTCCTCTCTTCTCCTCTCCTCTCTTCTCTTCTCTTCTCTTCTCTTCTCTTCTCTTCCCTTCTCTTCTCTTCTCTTCTCTCCCCTCCTCTTCTCTTCTCTTCTCTTCTCTTATCTTCTCTTCTCTTCTCTCTCTCTCTCTCTCTCTCTTCTCTTCTCTTTCTTCTCTTCCCCTTTCTCTTCTCCTTCTCTTCTCTTCTCTCCTTCTCTTCTCTTCCTCTTCTCTTCCTCTTCTCTTCTCTTCTCTTCTCTTCCTCTTCTCTTCTCATTCTCTCTCTTCTCTTCTCTTCTCTTTCTCTTCTCTCTCTTCTCTTCTCTTCTCTTCTCTTTCTTCTGTTCTCTTCTCTTCTCTTCCTCTTCTCTTCTCTTCTCTTCTCTTCTCTTCTCTTCTCTTCTCTGTCTCTTCTCTCTCTTCTCTTTCTCTTCTCTTCTCTTTCTTCTCTTCTCTTCTCTTCTCTTCTCATTCCTCTTCCCGCTTCCTCTTCTCTTCTCTTCTCTTCTCTTCTCTTCTCTTCTCTTCTCTTCTCTTCTCTTCTCTTCTCTTCTCTTCTCTTCTCTCTCTTCTCTTTGCTCTTCTCTCCACTCTTTCTCTTCTCTTCTCTTCTCTTCTCTTCTCTTCTCTTCTCTTCTCTTCTCTTCTCTTCTCTTCTTTTCCTCCTCCTCCTCCTCCTCCGAGAGAGAGAGACAGATAATCAAA